CAAGTAATCAACATTGGTTAATAAGGATTTTGCAATAGTCACTTATTTTTTGAAAATAAAATTGTGATAGTTACAGAGTGCTTCTGGCCAGGAATGTGCGGCTTACAATGTTTTGGATTAATTTTTTTAAAGTGTGGCGCGCTTTATGAAAGCATACTTTGTGCAAAATGGGACATGTATGTTAGTATTACGAATACCAAAAATTCTTTGTATGAAATTGTGCACTTGTGAAGTCACATATGTGCATACAATTATATATGTATGTTCACAAATAAAGGGTTTAGTATAATTAAGAAAAGATTAATAACCCCTAATTGTAAGTGTGTGTTATTCAACATAAAAAATGTGCAACAAATTCGAAGTACGGTTACACATCTCGCTACAAGTTCTACACAACCTTAACTTCTTCTTTGATTGTATTGCAACTTCTTTACTGCCTTTAAAGTGCTTGCCACAACCCTTGTTTCTAACTTGTTGTGGCGGAATTACGGTCACCTCTGACAGAGCTGCTGATCCACAAATTTTCTCAATTATGAAAGCTTTGGTGGTCAAGTGTGCACCAAGGTTGCTAAAATTGACGATGAAACACCACGTAAGCGAACAAAATTAACGATGAAACACAAACAATGAAGCATATTCACAAAATTAAAAAAAAAACGAAACAAAAATGAAAAGGAGCAACAAACAATTATTGGAGATCGTAAGGAAAATGAAACGAAAAGGAAAAGGAAAACAAAAAATACGTACAACAAACAAAAGCAGGTAAAGAAAAACGAACCTTTATCCATTAATGGAGCTTCGGTGTTTTTGGGGAGGAAGAGATAGTCACGACGTCGAGCAAGCGAGATTTCACGTACATGGAATGACATTCGTAACTGAAAAGGAAAGGAATCAAATGTTTAATTAATTGAAAAAATATAATGGAAAGAAACATGGATGGAAAGCTGCGTACGTACAAAAGGAAATAAATTTTGGAATGACCATCTTGGCCTACACACACACGTGAGAAGCTGAAAAAATCAATTGATCTAATGGCCAGGATTGTTTTTTATTTATCACATTAGATGGTGTTCTTATTTGAACCAAAACCTATATACTAATTCCATAACAAATGCTTAACTGGTTTATAATAGTATCATAATTGTTCGGTATGTTATTTCCCTGAACAATGTTATTTCCCAGACCAAATAAGAAACAATAGGAGTATAAAATCATGATGGGTGGAAAGAATCATATTTAAAAAAAATGCTATATATCATATTTTTAGGACTTAAACAGTAGTAATAACATTGTTAGAAACTTAAAACTATAATTTAAATATTTATAATAGTTGCAGTTTTGTATCAATTTTTTTAAATGGTTTTTTATCAGATTTAAAAAGTATAACGTGATATGAAAACAATAAAATATAATATGTCCTTAAAAGTCATTGTATAAAATTTTAGCTGATTTTAAACAATCATTTAACCAAACACCATTTTACAAACCGCTAATATTATCAGCTGATCAAAACAGCCAACTGTATCAGGTGTCATCTATCAGCCAACAGAAACTGCTATCAGCTAACAACCATTTCCCAAACACCCCCATAGTGTTTCTACTCCTCATATCATGTTGGTCTCTGAAATATCCAACTCTTAATACCGTATTATTCTAACGAGTCATTCTCTTGGGATACGTGAAAACAATTTTTTTTGTAGAAAAACTGACGGATCTTTCTAGATATGGGCTCTAACCTTGCTTCGCTACTTATTTCCTTTAACGAGTCATTCTGATTTTTTGATTTTCTATATACTCCATTCGTTCTTTAATAGTTGCAACATTGTGATTTTTTGGGATGTAATCATACTTCTATTATAATATATGTTCTTTGTTAATGACAACATCCTAAAATTGAGATGGGTTTCAACCCAGCGACCTCCTCATTGGGAGGGTCACATTGATGTCATCGAATCACAAGTTGTTTGACTATATAATCAAATTATTATGTATATAATATTAATGTGCTTCATTGATTGATTATAAGTTGCTGGCTATTGTAACATTCACAGTAATGTACCAATTTGCTGCATAAGATGCTGCATATTAATACTCATATTGTCTTGTTGCAAATTCCTTTGCCCAACCGTACTCGACGAGAGGGCTGACGGGCTGTTCCCGAGCCTTCATCGACGGGGCTTTCCAAAACAAAGAGAAAATAGGAAGAATGGCAACCCCGGTGCCGTGACCACGAAACGATCACCACCGGACAATTCAGGCTAAGCGTTACCTCGCGGCAACCCTAGAGAGAGTCATGATGTTTTTACTTTTAGGGGGCGTTTGGTTCTTTACACATTAAAAGTTTACATGCAACTGATTGCTAGTAAATTGTAAGGACGTAATCATTTTGCACGTAAAATATAAATACGTTTGTTTGGTGAGGTATGCGATTCATTTTTAAAATACATGCAAAGTTGACTCAAAAAATAAGTTGATACGTCAATCGCCAATTCAAATTCAATACTACCCTTTTAACAAGACAAAACAGAGAAAGGGAAAACTCCTCCACGAACCACATGAGAAATAAGGGGAAAAAGAAACATCTTCGGTATAGTGAACAAGGAAAATAAAACAAAAGGAACTCCATTTCTCCATTATTGATCCAAGAAAAAGAAAGAAATGAAGGAATTGAATTTACATTCACAATTTGCGCACTAACCATTTGTCATGGAGAGAACACAGCTACGAAGAAGAATTAGTGATAAACGATTAAGAATTAGTGTAAAATTTAATTTGATGTATATTATATTAAGAATGTAAAGTATTTTATATGATAGTGTAAAATGTTTTAAAATAGTGTTCTACAATTTGCATTAAATAATTATACCAAATAGTGTAAATTGTTTGCATCCCTACACTTTGCATGTAAAGTAATTACTTGACACCTTAACAAACGCCTCCTTATTTCAACCTCTATTTGAATGATGTGATATCTTCCAAAAAATGTTATGTCTCGTTTGTTCTAAAAAAAATTATCTCTTATATCTCAAAAAAAAAAATCTCGTTTGTTCCAATAAAGCCATATCTACATTTTTTTTACAAAAGCTATATCTACATTTAGTTAGCACGTTTTCGATTACATTCATATGTAGCAATCAATTATTGAATAATAAAATTATCTAATTTTTCATCTTTTCAATAAATATTGACACATTAAAATATACAGAATAACAATAAAATATATTTCATGTCAAATAAACGATTCTCTATTATTAATCTCGAAATTTTAAGAATTCAATAACTTCAGCAGTTTCTTGTATTTAAAAATGTGTATTATGTTCTCGTTTGGTAACCCTAAAAATCAGATGAATGGGCTCAATTTTTTGAAATTTATTCAATTCTGGTTAAGTTACTAAATTGGGTGAATCTGCTAAATTATGAAAAATTATACGGAGTATATAAAATATATTTTAATGATAAAATTAAGAAAAGTTAATATAAAAAATAACTAAAGATCTTTTATACTAGTTTCGATCAATTTAGATGAAAAATAAATCTAACCTTACTCATTTTGATTATTAAATATTTTAGTGCGCAAAATAAAAAATTGGATTATACATTTATAAGAAACCAACATTTTTGATGGAGTATATGGCCCAGGAACCCCCGGCCCATAGACTCCTACTTCTCCTACACAAGTCCATTGAGCCCAGGAAACAACTCAGGCCCAAATACATCGGCTCAAGCCCCAAGATAGCCCGGAATACACACTGGGGTGCCTTCGGCCTCCTTGGCCGAAGGCTCTAGAACTCACAGGATAGCCTTTTTGGCATAAGAGGCTGCTGGGAGGAAACGGGCGAAAACATGAGCCTTCGGCATTGTTACGCCCTCGGCATCTGAGAAGTCCTCGGCTACACAAGGAGCCCTCGGCTGCACGAGGAACCCTCGGCTACACAAAGGAGCCTTCGGCTGATTAAGCTCAATCATCGAAGATTCCTTTTAGAGACAGCCAACCACCGCATTTAATGCCGCGTCGCATCCACCAACCGCATTCAATGCGGTTGACGTACCACTGCCGGTGCCACTAGGCTGATGTGACCCTTCGGCCGTTGGATTACTGACACGTGTCCTCTCATCGCATTTATTGCTGCTATAAATAGCAGCCCTTATTCTCCTTGTAAACCACGCTGAGTTCATTTAATAAATCGACTCTCTCTCCTCCTATTTTGCTCTGACTTCTCTCTAGTTATTCCCGCAATAACCCCTCGGATAAGATACCCCCCGGGTAGACAGTCCATCAATTTTCATTCATTTTCATTGTCAAATAATTAAGTGCGTGAAATAAAAATAACTAATACTCCCCCTGTCCCATTTTATAAGATGTCTTTACTATTCAATTGGTCACACAAATCACTCTTAATCTCTAATTTTATAAATCAAAATTTTATGAAATTTGAATTATTTTTTGCAGGGTTTGTAGCGGTTTTAATGTAGTTTCTAAATATGTAATTCTTTTTTTCTAAAAGTAATTTGAGTGTAGACAAAGATCAGTTTACTTTATCGTCGGTTAAACATGGTAAATCTTAAAATTCAGACGGAGGGAGTAGGTAATTTTGTTAAAAATATTGAGTTATCCGCTTATCCATCGCCAGGAAACTAAAGATCAGGGAGTGTTTGCAATTACTTCAACTTTAAAAAAGTGATTTTTTAAAGTGCTTTTGGAAAAAGTGATTAATAGTAAAAGTTGGTAGTGTTTGAGAAAAAAGTGATTCTGAATAAGTAAAAGTTGGTAATGTTTGGTAAAATAAGTACTTTTTGTGTAATAGAAAAAGTGAAAAGCAGTTTAAAGCACCCTTCCACCTGCTTCCAGCTTTTAGCTTTTAAGTGATTAATTTAAGCAGAAGTTATCGTTTGAAAACACTCTTTTTAACTTTTTTTTAAGCAAAAAGCCAAAAAGCTCTTTTTTTTTTAAGCAACCCCAAACAGCACAATATTCACTCAGAACGATCATGGCGTCAGTCCACCAATTCCGTCTGGTCTCTTCTCTCAACTCCATCTCCTCCCCTAATAGACCTCTCAAATTCCAGACTCTACCGATCTCGGCTTCTTTGAAATCTTCATCGCCCAATTCAGAAGAAGAGCCTCCCCAATCTGAAAAAAATAATGCTGTCAAGCTTGCATTCGCCAAAGCCAAGGCCTACAAGAAAGACGTAAAAACCAGTCCCGTTCCAAAGATCATTCAAACTCCGGTTCCAGAATCTGCAGAAATAGAAAACCGGAGTGGTGGGTTGAAAGAAGATGATAAGCTTAGCGAGCAAGTGGAGATACCTCCTGCAGTCAAGCTTGCATTCGCCAAAGCCAAGGCCTACAAGAAAGACGTTAAAACCAGTCCTGTTCCAAAGATCATTCAAACTCCGGTTCCAGAATCTGCAGAATTAGAAAACCAGAGTGGCAGGTTGAAAGAAGATGATAAGCTTAGCGAGGAAGTGGAGATGCCTCCTGCAGTCAAACTTGCATTCCAGAGAGCAAAGGAGTATAAGAAGAACAAAGAAGAAGCTTTGGGAAAGTTTGCACGTTCACAAGGCAGTGGTAATTTCTACTTTTGATTCTTCATAGTTGTTTTATTTGTTATTTCAATTTTTTCCCGAAATTATTGCTATTAATTTCATATATGAGCCCGGCTCAACTAGTTCATAACCTATGATTCTATGAATGAATATGTGTGTGTGTATAAGATGTGCTTTAATAGATTAGCTAGTCTCGACTAAGGTATTTGGAATTGATTCCGCTTATGCTTCCTTTTTTAAAGCAGTACAATCGGAATCAGTTTTTTTGGTCTCTCCCAGCTTCTCAAAACGGCTTCTTAGAGTAATTTGAAGCAGATCCAAACACCTCCTAATTGACCTCGATCAATAATCTAAAATCACATTATAAATGCACGGGTGTGAGTTGTTCCTTTAGTCCTTAATAATCTTATTCACAACTGTGGTTTAAGTAGTTACATAGTCTTCTTACAGGATTCATTGGGTCATGCTTTTAGGAAAATAAAATGATGGTACTATTTGTATACATATTTGGCTCCTATTTATGAAATTCTATCCAAGTATTAAGCATATGGATTTAAAAATTCATAATTAGATTATTATTGCAAAATGCAGTACTGTACTTGAAGTATACATGCTTTTGTAATTACATTATCCTCTTGATCAAAATATTTAAAGAATTAAGCTTGAGCCTTTGTGTGCCCGTAGCATTGCTCACACTCGTAACTACAGTCTTTTTGATGTTTTTTATATCATATGGAGCTGTTATTTTCCAGAGCTGAAGGGTATAAGTGTATTTTTAGGTGCAGGGGTTAATGACAAAGTAATAGTGATGGGTACCGGGAATGGTTTACCCAAAAGGAAGGAAGGCAAGAAAGAAGAAGTGACGGTTTCGAGCACTGATTTTATGGGGCTTAATTTTTCTGATAAAAAGGGAGGGAGGCGAGTGCCAGCTGGGCTGGTCCCAATATCGGACCCTTTCCCTGAAGGCAATTTTCCGGAGGTAGAAATACTAGTTGGGGATGCTAGTAAGTTTGGAGAGGTAACCAAGCCTGAACCTGTCCAGGAGGATCGGACGGATGTCTACAAGCCGAAGGTCTCCACATGGGGTGTTTTCCCCAGGCCTACCAACATTTCCAAAACTGTAAGTTTATTATATGCATTTTTTAACCAATCTAATTTCCATTTTCAATTGAGCACAATTTCTGCAACTTTCTGCCGCAAAGTTTTTCCAACCACTTTTCTTTTATAACTGACTAAATATGCAAGTGATAAACTGATAAACCAATATGACGACAGTTGTATATGCAACAACAACAACATCTAAGCTTTAGTCCTGAAAGAGTTTGGAGTCGGCTAACATGAATCAACATATGAAACTGGAGTTAAAAAGGGTAAAAAGATATCAATCCTCCACACATATACTCTCCCTTCACTTCGCTCTCTCGAAAGCCACCGTCTCATTCTACCCAAGAAGTACCATATCACTCCCAAGTCCTAACCACTTGAATTCACTTCTGTTTGGGTCCTCATCTCCCTCTCCTCCTTGCCTCTTCCCTCCACCTCTCAATTCATCTAACATGTGCATCATTGTGTCGTCTACACACATAACTAAACCACCGCAGTCAAGACTCTTGCATCTTATCTTCGATAAGTGTTATTCTCACCTTTTGTCATATTGTCTCATTCCTCAAACAGTTTTTTATGGTATGTCCACACATCCAACGCAACATGCGCATCTCAGCCACACTCATCTTTTATATGTAACATTGTTTCACTCTACGTCTTACAATAATGCAGTTTCAATTATTGTCTGATAAATCGCTGAAAGTTGTATATGGCTTTTGGAAATTTATGGGGGAGAGCTGAGGCAGATAAGCACTATAAGATGCAATAATATTCCAGACGTCTCTTAATATTAAGAGAGAGTTGGACTTCACACCCCAATTTTCAACCCAAATTTAATCCTGCACCCCTTTCTGATGTTATTGATATTTACAACTGAAGTTAGAGAAGTCTGTTAATAATCGCAAATGCCAATTCAGAAGAAAAAATGTGGTGCATACTGTTTATACTGTTATAAAATAGTTTGTTATATCATACTTACTTTTAATATGTTTAAGTCCTACGAATAGTTCCATTGCAGTGTAGAAGTGAAAGTTTTTATCTCTGAAAAATAAGAGCATGGACTGGAAAAACGAAATTATCGTAAAGGAATTTTTTAATCTCGATCTTGTTATACCTTTTCTGCGTTCTTAGTTTGGTGGTGGAAGGACTCTTAAGCCTGGTGAGGAACTTGAAACAGCAGAAGTGAAAGCAGCTAAAGATGCACGAACAAGACAGCTCCTTGTTGCCTACAAGTCAAAAATGGGCATGACCGTTGATCCAAGACTTGAGCTTGAAAGCGAGAAGGTATTTTCAATTTTGCTTTCTTTTGCTTGGACATATAAATATACAATATAACAATATGTTCCTCGCGTGCTCCTCATGCTGCCTTCTTCTGAAGACAATTTTCTTTTACTTACTATCTAATTGCTCCTCATGTTGCATTGTTTAAGGTTTGAACCAGAGAGAAATACATGAGTTAGTGCCTCAGCCCACAAGGATATAATTTTGACGAATTTGATCCTCAACTTTATTTTCTTTGGACTCAATTTAATCATCTTTTATGAAATTTAACTTAAGCTATTTCCCAATGCATGCTTCGTTCTAACTAAGAACGTTATTTTCATATGATGAGGAGTGAAACTAGTTCAAGTTGCATAATTGGAGATCAAGTTGATTGCTATATTGGGTTTAAATTTAGTGAGCATACCAATATACCCTTGACCCTTCTTACTTAGAACCAAATGTGCATGATGAGGGCTAAGTTGTATCCAAATTTAATAGAAGAGGACTATATTGAGTCTTATTGACTATTGAGTCTCACTTAAAGAAGATTATAGCCAAATTGAGTAATAGTGTATGGTTGAAGAACTAAGTCAGTTAGTCAGGTATTAACTCCTGTAAAGGGGGGCAAAAGCTCCTTCCCTCTGATCACACGGAGTTGATTTGACATAGTATTTGAACTCGCAGTTCTCCCTCCACTAGTGTAATACCCGTACGATGCACGGTGTGAGATTTTTTTCAAAGTAATTAGGGGTAATTTTCATAATAAAAATGTAATACACTGACAAAAGTAAATTTTAAGCCCTTGTAAAAAATTGGAGTATATATACTTTGATTAATAAAAGGAATACTACCTCTACTCCAATTTACTTAGCCATATTTGACTTTTCAAGTCAAAAATTGTAAATTTTGACCAACTATTTTAAATAATATATTTATGCAAACTTTAATATTTTTTTGCTTTTATGATAGTTTTTGTATTTTAAAGAAAAATTTTATACCGTTTTCATATTATCAATATTTTTTTCATATAATCGATCAAAGTTAGATGTCTGATTTGAAAAGTCAATTTTAGTTAACTATTAGGATGGAGGGAGTACTATTGAGCCTCTCTGAGTCGCTGCTCTCAGCCCCAAATGTCACCCTTGTTTTTCTATTTTACTACTTTTGAGCTTGTGGAAGTAAATAGCTGAATTCATGTCATCAACCACACAAAATCAATCCAATTCATCTCTGGCAAATCACTATATGAAAATCTCATTTACTGATATTCGTGTTTCAACTCAAACTCGTGATTAAAGAAGCATTGGTGAAATGGTAAGAATTAAATCTTTCTCAAAGATCTACGTAGTAAAGATCTACGTGATTAAATCTCAATTTTCATGTCATTTTGGCTAGATTTATATGTTAGCATTGAAATTGTTTGGCATGCGCCCATTTGACTTTGTTTCAATTGTCCAAAAGTTTGAATCGCCAACCCCAAACGCCCCCCACGCCCCGACCCGACAGAGTACATGAGAGGATGTAAGTCACGGTGACTCAGTCAGCAAAGTGGGCAGTAGGCCATACGCCCGTGCGCACCAGAGGTCCAGCCTTATTTCAGGTTCTGTGACCTCCACCCGGTCATTGCGAGGATTCGAACATTGGTCATTGTCCAAATTTCCCACCACTTTGCTAACTGAGCTACCCGTGCGGGTAAAATTTGACTTTGTTTCAAGATGGATATACGAAGTATGTTTTTATGGACTCCATCCATCATAAAGATAGGCACAATTGGATAAAGTAGCTCCTAATATGACATTCTTTATTTACAATTTTTACAAAATATTTTTAATCTTTATAATATGCACTATTTTTACTTTTAGTCCCTTGTCTCAAACTCTCAAATCTTTCAAATTGGCAAAAATTTACTCGCTTTGTCCCTTTTATATTGTCCCGTTTTATCTTTTTGGTAAATCCCACTAAAATTGTCGCATACCATATTTGATAAAGTTTGTGTGGTTCTAAATCTCTCTTACTTTATTTTTACTTTATCAATTAATATCAACCACACAAATTCACTTTTCTCAATAATCGTGTCATCCTCTTTTCTTAATAATCTTAGCTGATATGGGAGTTAAAATAATGTAAAATTAACTTTTCGCATTTTTTATGCAAAATTATGGTTTAGAACTTAAAACATATTCAGTGGCGGAGTCAGACATTTAGGGTTAAAGGGGTCGGTCCTTAACAATTTTACATTGCAGGGGCCAAAGTGTAAAATATCAACATACTTTCTACAGATTAAAAGTATTTATACATAATATATACTTAAGAATTTTTTTTCTTGCAGGGGCCGTGCCACCTCCAGCCCCTCCCTGTCTCCACCCCTGAACATATTTGAACCTTTCAGTTTTAATTCCCGCGACTCATAAATACTGTTTTTTCACGTTTTAAGATTATCATTTGGGCTAGTGTATCAAGTGCAGTAAATGTCAAATTGTTATTCAGATTATATGGCTTATCAAATTAGTTTGCACAGCGAGATGATACTACCCAACAATGTGTTTTCTACGGTACTTCTTTTTAGCTACTGTATGTAAAGATGCAATTTTTGGCATCTTGAAATATGGAATTTTCTTCCAACCGCCCGTTTTTTTGCCCACGCTTTACTTTGTTATCGGATAAGGATTACGTATCTTTGGCATCATGTTGAGGCTCTTGGCGGGAACACTGTACACACAATTCTTTTGCTTTTATATAAGTATAGATAGCAGAAGAAGTTGATGAGAAAGCTAGACTACAATCAATAAATTAGGAAAAGTAAATTATAATTAGGAAAATTTGTTTAAATTGAGTTGATGGAAAACTGGTGTTTTTTCTTCCTGGGAAAGTATGATTTGGTATCATTGTACTTCATTATTCTTTTGTTTGAAAATCAATACATTTAACTTCTTATTTATAGCACTGTTGTGCTTAGTCATTAAGGGATGGCGACAGGTTGATGGAAGTTGGGAAGCTAAGAGAAGCAATACCATTTTATACAAAAGTAATGGATGACCTGCCATTCCAGGTAACTACTTAAAACAAACTCTTGGGGGATATATCACAGTAAAAGACACATTCAAACTCAATAAATCTAGTTCATATATTTGTTCAAACTCATTTTTTATTTCTATCATATAAAGACTAAGAAATCTAAATTGTATACTTTTGTCTTCATAAGAATGTAACTCACTTGGGAGTTTTTCCTTCTCAACCATTACCCGTGATCCAAACATAGCATTGGTCTTGAAGTTTTTCCTTTTCATAAGAAATGCCAAACTTGTACATTCCATTTTTTAAAACTAAAGTAGAGGAAAAGGCCAAACTAAACGGCTTTCTTCCTTGTACCTTGTTTCCTTGGTTACCTATATATTCATATACAATTTCTCTGCAGAATGAACTTCATGGACTTGCTGCTTTGCAGTGGTCTATCTGTCAAGACTCACTCCTAAGGTATGTTCATTGTGTAGTCTATTCTAGGCTTTCTCTTGTCTCTTTGCCTCGCTATGAACTTATTTTTATTTTTCAGTGGTTAAAGTAATCACAAAATATTGACAGGCCAAACGAAGCTCGAAACATGTATGAAAAACTTCAGTCGCACCCTAGTGTTCAAGTAAGCAAAAAAGCACGACAATTTGCTTTCAGCTTTCAGGTAATTAATTTATTCTAAAGCCCTAAAGATAGTAAGACCATTGTTGTAAAAATCTTCTGGCTAGGCATTAGGCTCTTTTTGGACATCTAGGTATATATATCTCGCCCAGCCCATCTAATTGCACTCAAACCCCTCCCTGAATCTTAATTAGCTCCTCTCTAGGCTTATTAGGACCTGTTCTCTTTGACTTTGGTCCTGAAATTAATGATCTTTTCTAAATTGGTCAAGTCGGCTGGTCTGGTACTTTGATCTGTTAAAGTCAAATTTGGTTTAATATTATGTGACTTTATTTGTTTGGAACATATATTTATGTTTATCTTTTTTAACTCTGATTTTATATGTCAAATGACCCCAAACTCTATTTGGACTAAGGCTCGGATATTGTTGTGAAAAAGTGTATTAATAATGGTCGTCTAATATATTTTTAAGTTGACATGTAGTTATTAAAATACAAATTTTCCGTTTTTCTTTTAAATCCACGTTATTCTATAAAAATAACAAAAACAGTAACATAACAAATCAACATCTAAATGCATTAGGAGCTTATGATCCTCCATCTTGTCTTGCATTATAAGCCGCCACTAAAACAAAACCAGTATTTATCTCGGAGATCTGAGAAATACTACTATAAACTACTGCACTATAAATCTTCCTTAGGTGCCAAGGGATGACTTATGTTATGATTTGGATGATTGCAGGCAATGGAAATGATGAAGATTACAGGCTCAACCACTTTTCCGGTGGGCACGGGCTATCAAAGTTACTTTAATGCTTTTGTAAAAGACGAGACCAGCTACCCTCTTAAAGAAGCTGAAGTTGATGAAGGTTTTGGACTTGTTGAAGCTCTCGCCTACATCGTCTTTCTTATTTCCCCAGTATTTATCGTAATATTCATTGCTATACGAAAGGGTATTTGAGCAGCTGATGTTTTCATCCTTTTAATTCAAACATGGATCACACACAACAGTGCATGAATACCCTCACCCGAAACAGAACTCGGTCTCTATCGTCTCTACACATCATTATCTTATGGACGATAAATTTCATTTTTCCCATCTTCCTTTCTCACAATCTGGGGCAGAGCCAATGGGGTAAGGGTGGTCAGTTGACCCCTCTGAAAATTAGAGAATGTGGAACACTTAAATACCTTCCCTTTATATTAAATTATTAATTATTTACTTATAAATGCATATATTATATTAGTTATATTTCTTATCTATTTATAGTCTTATATATTAATTATCTACTTTTAAATACATATATTATATTACTTATATTCCTTATCTACTTAATCTCTACTTATTATCTACTTATATTACCTATATTACAATTTATATCTACTTAATATACACTTTATATATTAAAGTATTAAATATAAGTGTATTACTCATCTTATAGTAGTATACTTATATATTATATACTATAAATATTATATTATATATTACTTATACATTTATTATATCTACTAATATAGTTGGAATTATATATGATTAATTCGAAGTATATTAATTAGTATATTAAGTATATATATATTAAGTATAAATATATATATATATATATATATACACACACACACGATTGTTACTAATATATTACTTTTATAGTTTTATTACATGTAATTAATAATATTAAGTATATATATGTACTTACATATATATTAGTTACACTTTAATTAATATTAGTTAAATTCATTCTATTACTCCCATTAATTAGTATACACTTTCATACATTTGTCTTAGTTGTTTAATTTTGTATTAACATTACTTGATTAGTTAATTAGTATTCACGCGAATTGTTTAATTTTTTATTAAAGTAGTTCATTACTTCATTACAATTTTTATTAATTGCTACCTTTGACTCTACTTTAAAAAACTACTTTATTAAACTACTATTTTTATTAATTTTTATAGTTAAAGTTAAACTATAATAATTTGATTGTTAGTAAAAAATAGGTAGTACATTGTTAGTAAAAAACTAGTTAATTGTTAGTTTTGAGTATTTATTAAACAATAGTATTGATTAGTTCAAATAACTAGGACAAAAAACTAGTTAATTCATTACTCAATTAATTTTTGCTATAAATTTTGTACTAACATTTTATTAATATTCGAATTTTAGTTCAATTCACATTTTAATTAAAGTACTTCACATTTCACTCGAATTGTTTTTATAAAAAAATAATAGTTAGAATTTTATTTGATTAAAGTAATCTTGTTAGATTGAAGTATTATTTAAAACAGTTTTAATAACTTGCATTACTTGTGTACTCATTATTAATATATTTGTTGCAATTTAATATTTGTTACATTTTTAAGATGGAACGTGGTAGATATTCGATTGATATGAGTAACCTCGAGCGCAACCGAACGAACGAGATTGGGAGGAAGACATCTCGCAAAGGTAAATCACATATCGGCTCTTCATCTCAAAGTCGAGATGATTTTGATACGGGTTACAAAAGGAGAGATGGGGATGCGATGTCCGACATGAAGTAACCAATACCCGACGACCATTGATGAAGAAGAGCTCGAGGACGACGATGTGGAGGAGATGGCCGAGGAGGAGGGTGGCGGCAGCCACGACGCCGACGAGCCTGGCTCATCCCAAACCGGTACGAAAAAAAATAAATCCGAACTAATGCTTAATAATTTTGATAAGTGGAAGGACCCGAATACCGGGAATTGGTACGCAACTTGCAAGTGGTGCAAGACAAATTATAGCTTGGGGATTTCCGGCGGATACGGATCCGCCGCAAGGCATCTTAAGGCCAAACACAAATATCGAGGAAGCAAACTCAAATATCGAGGTTTGCAAATAATCAACAACCTTTTGGTAATTTCTCATACAATGATGCACAAAATTTGACTGGTATGACTAACTTAATTGTTGAAGAAAATTTGCCTTCTTTGTTTTCTGAAAATCTTGCTTTGAAAGATTATGCACAAACTTGTTTAAACCTTCAATATAGAGGTTATAGTCGCAAAACGGTTAAGAAAGAAATTATAAGGCTTTATAATGCGGAAAAGGTAAGGTTACAAATTTTTTTTGCAAACTTTGATGGGTATGTTACTATTTGTTCTGACATGTGGGAGGATGATTATCATCATTTAAATTAGGGAAATTTTCGCAAGTAAACATAAAAGTTAAAATAATATCACGTTTTTCAGTTTTTAACTTTTCTTTCAAAAATGAACAAATTGAATTGTTGTTTTCATAAATGACTGGAATATAAAACAGCCGGTACGCGTTTGATCTCCCGTTCGTTTTTAAGCATAGCTGGGCTCACATAGCGGAAGTCATCCCTAACTTCACAAATTAATACGGAGTAATCGACACTACTCATTTTTAATTTTGATTTTTAAACCAAACCTAAAAAACAAAACTTTAAAAAGAATAATGAAAAATGGAAATGGTGAAACTAGTTAGAAAAAGTACTCCGTAATAAAAGACTAACAAATAATAAAACTCAAATTGAAGAATAAAAAATCTCAAAATTGGACAAATGCATTTAAATTTTAACAATAAAGGCAAAAATCTAAATATTAAAACTAAATCAGGTAATAGTAAACAAAACTTATAAAAAAGCGTTAACATACACATAAAACAGTAAACATATAAACTTGGAAAAGGTTAAAAAATAAAAATAAATATTACTCCGGGTATAAAATAAGACGTAAATAGAGAATTCTTTATAAAAAAATATAATCAGAAAATTTAATTAAACTAAAAGGCATGAAAACATAGAACTTTTAAAATAGTAAAAACGAAAGGAACTTGAAAGTATTACGAAGTATGATTTTTATTAATTTTGCAAGGAGTTACAAATTTTAATTCCTTTTTCATTTTATTCTTTTTATGTGTTTCTTTTTGTTGATACTATTAGTTTTTGTTATTATTAGTTTTTGTTGCCTATTGTTTCTATGTGTTTCGTATTATTGATAATTATAAGTTTTTTGTTTTTTATTGTTTCTTTATGTTTCTAGTTTTTGTTTATATTCATAAATCTAAATAGGTGACTACATATATGTGTATGGTAGCCTCTAATCCAAAAACGAAATATAAAAAATAATTATAAAACCTAAAAACACAAGGAAATCAACAACAAACAACAATAAGTAGACAACACAACAAAAAGCAACAAAATGCAACAAAATAAAACAAAATGAAACAAAATGCAACATAATATATAACAAAAGAACATAATACGATTACAACATTGATAAGAGTTCAATGAGTTCATAGTTCAACTTTTTTATTTACATTCATGATGGGAAACAACAAGAAAGTAGTGTTGGGGATATCACTCTAGGAGTTATGACGGAAGAAGAACTGGAGATAAGGTAGTCTTAGGGTCTGTTTGCAACAGCTTCTGCTTTAAAAATGTGTTTTTTTAATGAAATGGGAAGAAGCGATTAAATAAAAGTTGATAGTGTTTTGAGAAAAAAGTGGTTTTTAAAAGTAAAAGTTGGTAGTGTTTGGTAAAATAAGTGTTTTTTGTGTAATAGAAAAAGTAAAAGCACTTTTGATACGAAAGCCGAGAAAAATAAAAGTTGGTAGTGTTTGGTAAAATAAGTGTTTTTTAAGCTAAAAGCTGAGAAGTGTTTTTAAAGCATTTGCAAATCAACCCTTAATACAAATCCTTTTTGTATAGTAGTGAGTCCAAATGTAGTACAAAGTATTAACTATATCTCGAAAGAAATTGCATGTCTCTATGCTTCCAATGGTGAAAAGTGACCACATACTCCTGACAAAAACGTTTGTGATCCTGAAAGTTATCACAACAAAGATAATCATTGACTTAATTGTATTACTAAAAGATATCACAAAACAAACAATACATCATCATACACACAGATACTCTATAACAGACATAGAGAAAAAATCATTGTTGAATAATTAAGTAATACATACTTTGTATTACATAGTGATCACTTACCAGTAAACAGAAATCAAATGGAGGATCAAATATTAAAATATTATTATTGTCAATTTGAAACTAGAAGATATGCTACACTCTACAATTCTAAGTAATAGAGTTAAAGCCATTAAGGTATAAATACATTACAAACATAATATTAAAAGAACGGAGGTCACAAGTTCATGTTCACAAGTAGGAGCTTAGAACTAACTATGCTATGTATGACCAAAAGAATCAAGCCCAAAAGAAATAGAGTTTTACCTTATCAATCAATTCGACATACATGAATAAGATAAAATTGAAGAGAGGTGAATACTCGTAGCAAGATTTCATGTTGTTCAAGTTGGTTAATATTGTCGAATGTGGGTGCTAAATTTAACCCTACAATCAAGGTCCTTCAGATTTTGACCAAATCCCTCCATAATTTGAAAAACAAACTGCTCAATAAGGTCTGAATTCTAGAAACTTACAAGTTACAACACCTTCAAACATTTCAATTTTTATAAAGTAGGGATAGCACTCATAACATCAATATATATATGCTAAATTGGACAATATTTAATGCATAAAGCTGTTAAAAATATGATTCAAAACTACTGACCTTGACACAACAACACTATGATGGCCGATTTGGGCAGGGGTTTCCCAGTTGGCGATTTGGACAGGGATTACAGTCGCCTACTTGGTTTCCTTGGTCAACTTTGATGAGTTCAATATCAAAATATCTGACATCATCCTCGTTTGGACTATCCTTAGACTGAACAACCGTGAATGGCCCTAGCTTAGCAATACTCTATGAACACAGCTGGAATTTTGCGAGTCATGATGAAGAAGGCATCACAGGTTCGATGCGATCTCCCTTAGTCAAGTGCTTGGTTGTCTGAGAAGATAGTCGTTGGCTCTTCGACCTTGAAGGTGTGGCTGTGGGAGCAAGACGATCATGTTCTAACGATGTTTCACGCTTTCCACCAGCACTCTGCGTCGGCACTCTCTGGTCATTGTCTGCGCTCTTGGCTCTCTATTCCTCGAAGATTTTAGATGCTGGATTTGATGAGAACGCGATCTATTATGTGTTTGCGAAGAAGATGATGCGAGACAAGTTGTTGGGAGCCTGGGAGATGATACTCCTCCATCTTCTAATTGAAATCGGCGAGTGTGAGGCTTGAATTACCGGCGCCCAACATCGGTCTCCAAAGTCCCACACAACTTCGATCTAAATGGATTTAGGAGTTGTGTTTTGGTTGTAGGAGATAGCCGAT